GTTTCGAATGCGCCATGTGGGCTCTGGAAATGCAAGCTCACCCATAGTACAATGGTCAGCAAACCCAGCTCTCATTAGCGCAAAGAATTTCAGCGGATACAAAACAACACCCCCCAGGGGGGGCCTGCTTAGGGCCTAAGCAAACAGCCCTCACCAGCACCAGTGTTTTGAAGTCTTTCTGCCCGTTCTCCGCCTCGTCCAGGATAAAGACCAGACTGCTGCTCCTTTCTTTTGCATCGCCTGTATCAAAGGGGCCGTTTGCTCCCTGGAAATGTAAATTCATCCAAAGTAAATCATGCAGTACTTGTATAGCGTAGTACTCCACATTCCCGCATTTAAATTTGCATGTTATGACTTTCGCCGCACGCTGTGACAGATTGTAGTTTGGGCAGTACATCACGCTGGCCAAGTTACTGGTGCAGCTGGCCAGCCCACAAAATCCTACATGCGTGTGTCGTGCGGCTCAAGCAGAGGGCTCACAAAGCGGTTAGCAGCAGCACGTTCTGCGCGTCCCTGGCACTGGGGACTGTTCGGGTTTCAAAGCGTATCAACTATTGAATTCCAATTGCTCTAAATGCGCTGTCAGTTGCCGCACCAAAGCCATGGCCTACAATCACTGAACAAATGAATTCGAGTATTTCGTTACTGTTCTTCACGTATTTCAGAAATACGTGCAAATTCATGACAGAATCTGGCGTGCATTATGAGCTCCACGATTGATCTCAGTATAAAGAACCGTTAAGTGACACGTGTACAAAAGGGTAGAAAATTTACGGGTTTGGGTTATTTTCGTGTTTTCAGCGTGCAGAACACCAATGAAATGCATGCCTATGTGTTCTAAAAAGGTGCTGTTTGGTCCTTTTTTCGCTGGTGTTCCGAAAAGTGCGATGTTGGTTGACACTTAGCCAGTACAAATAATATACTGCGGTGCAGTAACATACCAGAACGAGCCGATGCAGAATGTAATGAAACAAGCAGCAGCCCTTGCGATAGTGTACTTGTGCATGTGGTCTCACACCTCTCAGGCTGCTCACCGGCAGCCAAGAACCAGTTTCACCATGGCCTCTTCATCTAGGAACACTTTCAACAGGAAGGCCTATCTGGCCAGAATTTGTTCAGCCGTAATTGGGTGCCCGGAACATTCGCCACGCCGTTGCGCAACGGCGCTGGTTGCCGCATGCACGGACCTGAAAGCACTTGGGGAGGCAATATTCGGTTATCGCCAGGTTGAGAACGATATGCAAGTAATTGAGCAATTCTCGTTCAGCATTGAAGGGATCTTCCCCTCAACAGGCACAGGCAACGGACAAGTCGAAACGAGCAATTTGATGACAATGGCGCATCATGTTCTAGCCCACACGGTTAAAGTGCGACATCCTAATATTGTTTCCTTAAATATATGAGCAGTCCTTTTGGAAGTGTGGCCGGCCCCTATACTGAGCTGTCAGGAAAACAGCCAAACTCAAAATGCAAGCGTCGCGGCTGGAAACCATTCGGCCATGGTAAGGCGACTTACAGATATCTACTGGGTGCACAGCGCTCATCCAACGCCACTGCATGTTGCGGCGAACCTAGCTCGACTTGAAGCCAGACAGGGCGTTTCTTTATTGGATGCTCCGCATCATTTATGGGTGCCCTACGTTCTTTACAATCGCTCTGCACAGAAAGGCCAGACGTTACGTGTCGATGCGGAAGGCTTGCATATACTGTAAGGCTATCTTCATACAGTGTTTGTATGCCCTACACTTATAAATTAACGCAATAACTTTCATAAATTATAATTCAGCCATGCGCCTTGGCAAAAAAACCCGCTGGCATGTTGTCTTGTCGATCTGCCCATTCATGGCCTCGTCCAGGACTAAGATGAAATCCCTTTCTTTCGTATTGTCTGTTTCAAAGGCGCCATTTTTGGCTTTGGAAACGTCAGTTCTCCCAATATATGTTGAAGATGAGCAAAGTCTGCTCTCAGTGAGTGACGCAAATTCGCACCACTCAATGAAAGCAGCATTTGCTCAATATAATCATAAATTGGGAAAATTGACATTTCAACAGAGTCAGTCGCGCATCGTGGCAAACAGCTCTCGCCGGCTGGTCGCTTTCAAGCTCTTTATGCCCATGCCTCCCTTCTCCATACAGTGAGCAAATTGCCATGCGTTCCTTTTGTTCCCGGTGCTCTGCCTCCTACCATTTCATTGCCAGTCCCGGGATCGAAAGATAGGCAGGCGGCGGGCATTCATAGTACCCAGGGGCAGCACGCCAAAAAATCCTTTCAATGGAGCACCACGTATGTGCTTCCAAAAGGTCTTGTGGCAAATGTACCGCCTTCTAAGGCCACAATCACGAAAAAATACAGCACCCCATCGGTGGCGTGGTTTCCACCACTGAACGGGCAATTGCATGTTCAGTGGTGGAAACCACGCCACGGAAGGTGTGTTGTACTTTTTAGTCAACGCTATTCGTTGCAGCGCTATTTGTCGCAAACTCGTTACTCGATGTCAAACCACCTAGCCCTATCTATTCCGGCGCATTCACGACAAAAGGCAGGGGGGTCTCCTGGTATTGTGTATCTCTCCCTAACGAATGTGCGACTCGTCGTAGCAATTTGTGTGCGGGTGGACCGACCAAGGTCCGATCCCATCAATGCTAATCCGCGACCCCTGGATTGCCAGGCATGAGCAATCCACCGCGGCTTTCTGTCCACGGCATTCGAGACCACAGCGATCGCCATCTGCCCACGTCAGCACACAATCAGGCACCTTGTGTCCTGCAGCAGCCATCTCAGAAGTTTCGATGGTCAGCTCTTCCCCCCCCCAACCCAACCCCACTTCCATCCAACCCAGCCCACGCGCAGCTCGCGCGAAATTGCGCCTACAACATTCATGACCGCAGATCTGCACAAGAGCTTAGCACAAACGTGCATCAGTGCCGGCTCAGTTCCCAAGGTCCAAAACAAAACCTCAAGCCTGGCGCTGCAGGAAAGAGCTTGTTGCGAAAACAACCCTCTTTGTGGCTTTGCTAGTTGTAAGCTCGCCGCACGGCGGCACTCGGTTGGGCGCCTCGCCTGTCTTGGTACAGCGCTGCCTCAAACCCTGGGTTTGGCGAGAACTGTTGGAACCTCCTGCGGTGTTTGGTGATGCGGGTCCCAGCGAGGTCCACGGGGGGTGGGGTGGGGTGGGGGTGGGGGGGTGCATGCGAGAGAGCAGGAAACCCAACGAGAGATGTTAAAGATTGTGCTCCACGCACACTTAACCTGTAAATCAGCGTACAATCATGTGCAATGAAATGTGTAATGTACAGATGTTAATGTACAGCTGTTTTAATGTACTACCGGCTATTGTAAGTGGTGCCACCGGCATCATTCGGCATGTCAGCTCCGACAGGATCCCTATCAGTTGGCGACCATGGCTGACAACTGGATCATCAAAAGACAGGCTCGTCGGTGGTTTTAACCCGGGCAATGAAAAGCATAGGCGACCCTGATTGGGCCTCTTGCGGAACCGCTTCTTCATTAGACATGGACGCCGCCAAAACACGGATCACGGGCAGATCACGAATTTTCTTCACTCTCTGCTCATTTTGGAGTGCAGTCTGATCTCAAGTGAAGTGCAAAATGCTCCCCTGGAAATCCACGTCCATGCCAATGCACGAATGGAGTGAGCTGCGAATTGACGGGCGGCCGAAACGAACTGGAATTGGGGTCATACAGCCCGTGACAGCAGGCTGTACCGGGAATAGTCTGAGGGGACACCTTCCGTTCTTTGCCACCCTCGAGGTATGGATTCCGGTTCAATGGGTTTGCAAGGCAGAACTGTGGCCAGCACATGCGTTAGAGCTGGCCCCAAACACACGTTCTTTTGGGTATGTACAGTTGTCCCTCTCAGACACAATGCTGCGTTCAAATGGGGCTCTACCATTCCCGCAGTTTTGGAGAACGTTCACGCCAATGTGTTGTCTCAGCCGGACAGGAGATTCGTAGGCGTCAGGACAACACATTCACCCACCACTCCAATCCTGACACGTATTGGCGCATTGCAGCCGTTGTCAGAAACCACTTAAGGCGAGACAGATTCAGAGGCAACGGTATGTACATTATTGTAAACAATGCACAAGTGTGTTCTTATCAACATGGGGCAGAAAAAATGGGCAAGGAACACTTTCAGGTGTTGGCATATCCACCCATACACATCGCTGCACATGTGTGATGGAGCCTGGCTACAGCCTCAGCTGTTTGGTGCTTCTTCCGAATGTTTACAAACGGTCACCACTACAAATTGGGTGAAAAGACCTATTGCTACAATGTGTTCCATCTCAAGCGGACAGGCACAGATCGCAGGATGAAACACCCCCTCCACGGATCACAGCAAGATCTGCAGTTTGCCTGCAAGCCACCATGCAAAACAAACTAAGTACCTGCCTGCAAGCAGCACTGCCCCTGAGGACGGGTCGGCAACCCAGAAACCCGACCTCTCATCCCACTCGACAGAATCCCTCAGGCCACTCTGAAGTAGCCAATAAGTGCCTACCAAAATCGCATCTCAAATTCAGCTAAAGGAGCACAGCATCCCCTGCTAGGAGAGATTTGAAGCGCGCCAACAAGCCATTCTACCATCCGGACAGTTCATAGGCTGCAAACTTCCATGTTTCCGAAATCATTCTACGAAAATTCCACCTGCCAGATGAAGCACAGTGGCATCCATAATCCAGTCACACAACACCTGCCACTGCCATTGCCTGAACATGCCAGGTATTTCATCTATCACAAGTGGAGTCCGCAACGATACGGACACTGTCCCGGATGGTGGTTCATGTGAGCCCCTCTTGGAGAGTGTGCCCACGACTAATTGCCCCAAGCGAAGATTCCCTTTGATGCACACAAATTACAGCAACTTGTCCTGGCCCACCCCATTACAAGTCCATGCGACAAATGATATCAGCCGGTGCACGATTCATTCCAACGTGGGACCAAGCAAAGTCGCCATCTAACCCAAACAGCTTCGCACTCACTTGTCTAAGCTATCCAACTTGGTCACACTGAACTCTTTGGTCAGCGCTCCTGGTGCCCTGATGGCCCTGCCCACGCTGCGGTTCCACCCACTGTCTGCATCTGCTGGTGGCTCCACAGCGTGGTTCCAACCCTTTTCTGTAGCCCTTGCCGGCTCAAGGAAGCCAGTCATCTGCAGAATAGTGTTCCTGGCTCTCAGCTTGGCTTTCTTTTCAGCAGTGCTCCCGTGCAGAGAGAACTGAATTGCAGGCTTGTCCACCATCAAATGGGGCGGCACAAACGTGGTGGCCTTTGGCTGGCCATCTTCCTCTTCCTCTACTTCAGACAGGGCATCTTGGGTCCTCGTCCATGTGTGTGCCCCGTGCGGGATGCTCACTGGAGCAGAGCTTCCCTGGGCAAGGCAACACATAAAGTGAATTCGGTCCTGAGAGCACACTACAGTGCCCAGTGTCCTTTTGTTGCCACTAGACTTGCTGCCACTGCCTGCACAGGCACAAACCACAACTGCCGCAACAGCTCTTATCTCAAACGAGCCCCACGTCGGAAACGCTTCATGAACAAAGCACCTATCCAAGCACTGCCGTCGCACCAGTCTGAGAGGGTGGGAGCCCTCCATGCGCGCCCATTTGCTGAGAGGGGTGCCGTCGCTGGGGCACTTGGTGAGGCAGTTGCCGTCGTTGGGCAGAGCGTCTGCCGGGGAAGCGATCGACTTTCGCCTTGCAGTCTTGCTCCCCGCAGCGGGAGCCACATGGTCTGCTTCTGCGGCATGACCACAAGTCAATCAGTGCCAATCAGGGCGAAACGCAACACAATCCTCTGCCAGCGTCACCATCAGGGCCCGTTCAGTAGAGCCTGTTCATCATCCACAGCAGCCACCCGCTGCGACGAGTGGGCCCACCGATCTGTCTGTTGCATGGATGCTGCCCGGAACAGCCCCCCCCCGAAGCAGCAGCCTCCTCGATCTGCCTTCATCTGCCGCTTTTCAAGGTGGCGCCGCCACACCGGCTCCCGGCCACCCGGTGCGCCCGCCGATGGCCTAGACTCTTCGTCCTTCTCGGCGGGTGCTCGGGAGGCCACCTCGCCGCGAGGGACAAGCACACCGGCGCCGAGGCCGCATCCCCGTCCGCATCAGTTCGGCCTCGCGGGCCTGTCTCGCGAACAGCGGCCCCGGGATGGCCTCCCCGGCAGGGGCGCAGTGCGCACTTGCCCATCGCGCTGCCGGCGCCACAGGGTACCAGCAAAGCCGCCGCCATCCATCCTGCGGGTACTACGTCTTGGAAAGGGGTGTGTGGCGGGCCGGCGCCGCCCCGTGCCGTCCGGGGACCGAAGGTTGTCGCGCCGCGCCGTCCGCCTACTCACCGTCCTCCGCCGTGGTCGCGTCGTCCCCGTCGTCGAGCGACAGCCCCCGCAGGCTCTCCGCGCACATCGCCGCCGACAGCGCGGATATCTGCCTTCGGTGCGTCGCCTCCCTGGCGCCCCGCTGGGGCTCCTGACTGCCGGGCGGCGGCGCGTCCCCGTCCCCGGCATGCCGCCCGCGCTCCTCGCCGCGCGACGCCGCGAACAGCAGGTCTTCGAAGTCGAATTCCGTCGTGGCAGACATGGGCCCCGCCAGCCGAACGCGGCGCCGCTGGGCCTGACGCGCAGACCGCCGGGCCAATCGCAAAGTCCCGGTGGGCTTCCCAACGCTGCCTTCTTCAGAATCGCCCCCGCTCGCCCCTTCGTGTGCAGTTTGTCGCCGTTTCGGGTTTCAGCGCGCGTCTTTGGGAACCTGTCGCGTGTGCGCGGTGGCGGCCAGCGGCCTCCGGGCGTCTGGGGGCCGAAGCTTGGCGGCTGCGTGCGCACGACTTGGGGGCGCCGTTGCCCGCTCCTCGCCGGGAGCCCAGGCTGCCCGCCCAGTCCGGGGATTGACGAGAATGATGGGCGCCAGCGACACTCCGGCCAGGCCGCCCAGCGAAGGTCGGCGCTGCGGACGTACAACTTGGCGCGTGCCTTTGCTGCCACCCCCTGGCGACGTGGCTCGGAGGCCGATAGCCGAATGGGCCAGGGGCAGAGGCATGATGGGTTTGATGGGACAATGCGGGGGGGGGAACTGGCAACAAGTACAGACGGTGGTGCCCGAGAGAGTCACCTGACCGCCAGTGCAACCCCGTCACAAAGGTTACTGAGCGACTGTTCAGGGAAGCAGGCGTTCGTGCAGCCCTGCTGAATCGGAGTCGGACATGAATACTCCCGCCGCCTGCCTGGTGCCTTGTTCGCGACGCTCGTACTCCACACAAGATCACTCGCCTCCGGGCGGTACACAAGGCACTGGCCCAGGGCAACAGGGGGCCTAATGGATATACGGTGCTTGTGACGCAAGGGGTCACCATTGCGGGCGTGGACATTTTCGCACAATTCCCCAGTAACATCATCCTGGGTTTGTCAAGTCAAGGCTGAATACTGGCAAGGACATTGGCAAGGGGCGTTCGCAAATTCACGCGTTATGACCATGCAGTGCTTGCTGCCACTTCCAAGCCCTCTCAAGGCACGTTGGTAGAGCTGGAATGCGTGAAGCATTGGGCCAATGGCGACCTCGTCAGAGGAAAGATTTTTGGTTTCGTCACCCAATTATCGCCCCTGTGCGAAGTGGAATTAACGCAGTTCACGAGCTGGTGCCTGGGGAAATGTGCAGTGGCGCTGGCGATACGTAAAGCATCCAGTGGTGCGACTGCGGTAGAATCTGCAGCCAGGCGACCTGGCCCTAATCCTCTGTAGTTTCAGACTTGTTGATCGACAGACCGTGTTTAAATGTGGGTTAAGAGATAGAAACAATTAGGCACACTGTCCAAGAAATAGATGAAGAATATTCTACGCTTTGTTGTTTCTGTAGCCAAGCAATACCAAAACCAAGGTTTACCGCTCAGTGACCTGATCAACCAAGGTAACATAGGCCTGATCAAATCAGCACAAAAGTTTGACAAAAGAAGAGGCTTCAAGTTCATTTCTTACCAGTCCAGAAGTTGGGCCTTCGGCCCAACGTTCTGCACTGTTCGAGTACCATGATGTTACAAACAGCTGACAAACACCGCCAGGAGGGTGTCTACGCTTGGGAACAGCAATATGGCTCACCGTCCAGCCATATGCGCTCAATGGGAGTCACCAAAAGCACAGCCACTATCACAGCCCTGTCAATCGCCCAGAATTTCTGAGCATTCCGCTCCTACACCTTTTACCAACTTAGCTCATAAGCACTCACAGGACAACGAGAATCACCACAACAAGTAAATTCAAGCCCAACAGGACAATTGGGGTATTGTCGAGCGCTGCCGAAGCGAGGCGCAACCCCAGAGCTGAACTTCGTGTTCAAGTTCACCTTAACCGTTCACATACAACGAGAAACATGCAACTGCTGACCAGCTCGACGAGAGGCACAAAAATACACGCTCAAACTGCGAAACGATGCTCCACACCTCGCTCAGTAGCTCAGTATGACGAGCGTACTGACCATTCTCCAGATGTCTCAAACCGATGTTGTCGATGCTCGTTCCCTGCGGTCCAGCGCTGCACTCCACTCACTCGCCAAGCAGCGGACGATGAAGACAGGTCGTTGAGTCGACGAAGTCAGCGCCCAACGTGGGCGCACGCGGGTCAGCTGGTCAACGAGGCAGGAAACGAGCTCGGCGACGAGCTGTGGGTATGTGCAGCGGTGCACAACCCAAAGGCAATCGATCCGGAGGGTCAAGAGACAAAGATACACGGAAACGAAAGTGTTCGTTACAAGGCTGCTCCCCTTCGACCACGTTCGACCTCAACAACTCACAGCACGACCGTTTTCAACAGAGCACCCGCCGTTCAGACCGCTAGAACCAAAAACGGACGGGTGGGGGGCGGAGAGAGAGGGGGGGAGGCACTCACAACCCAACCTCCGCCACCTAAATACCCCCGCCAGCTCCAAGGGCACTACACTTCAGTGACCCTTGGATAAACAAACAGACACATCAAGAAAAAGGCCACAATACCTCTCAGAACTTCCCATTGACCTTCTCCACTTTGACCCTTTCCAAAGGGTCACACAATACAATTCAAAAAGTCACTTTGGAGCACTACAACACTACTCAACACCCGTCAGCGCCCCCTGGCAGTACTCCCATGAAGATGTACTGTTGTACATCTTCTTCCCACTCACGCTGCGATGAACTAAGTGCTGTAGGTTCCTGAAAAGTCAAATTAGGGGGAATCCCCCTATCCAAACAAAAAATACACCTAATGCATTTTTCATCCCATGTACACCCATCACACCCCACAGTCCCGTAGTGGGTATTGTCCCCCGGCTGCCTAACCCATTCTACCTCCCTTTCCCCCATGTACGACATGCGTGCCCTCAATTGAATTCCCTGCATCATCCAGCCTCCTTCCGGGCCTGGCAGCTCCACCTCCCACTCAGCTGTTACGTAAGCTTTCCAACGTGATGCAGCGACCACCCTCCAGTACGCCCGGGTGGCGCGCTCCACCATCCCCACCGGCAGCCCCCCGTCTCCCTCGGCGAGGCCGCCCACGCACCCTTCTCCGGCCCACGCGAACGGCGCGGGCGGGCTGTCCGGGCCGTCGCGCTCGGCGGCCATCCAAGCATCTCGCTCGGAGGTGCTCCAAACTCCTTCGCCTCGCCAATTCGCGGCGAATACACTCCGCCGAAGTCGATCGCCCAACCGGACGTTGGGGATCGCCGCAATCCAGTAGGCGTGAACGGCAAACAGTTGGCCGTTCAGGTGTCTTACTCGCCACCGAGTTGTGGCATCAAAAGCGGAATGGATCCAAAAGAGGGGCGTTCCTGAGCCGGAGGCCATGGCCCATGCCTCCGCCCCACCGAGCCCATTGCGGCACGCGAGCACCACTTTGCCCGCTTCGTCCGGGCCGACCAAAGGCTCGCCCGGGCCCCTTCGTCCCTGCGTGCACGGATCCACAAATATCCCCGGAGGGAGAGAAAGCACTGCTCCGCCATGGAGCATGGCGGAACCGGAGGGTCCGCCCACACCGAACGCGAGCACGTTCGACCCGCCTGCGGAACGTGGGGATGCTCCGGCCATGGCGAGGGAGGGCTTCCGACGGTCCCTGCACGGTCGGGGAGGCTGGGGT